CCCATGGCGTTCCCACGCCTCGCCTCTTACCCGCCGCGGGCGGGCCGCCGCCGGCCGGGCAGAGCCGCTCAGAGAACGCCCGCCGCCGCCCGCCGCCCGCCGCCGCCACGCGCGGCCTCCGCCTCCCCCATTGGCCGCCGCCGGGACGCCCTCGGCCAATGGCCGCCGCCCGGCTCCGCTCGGCACCGCCCCTCGGGCCGGCCGTGGGAAAGCGGTGGCGGCGGGCGCCGCGTGCGACTCCGCTGCGGGGCTGTTGGGGGGCCGCGGTGCCGTCCCCTCCGCCCCCTCTGCGTCCCCCTCCCCACGGTTTCCCTCCCGGCCGCCCGCAGGGTCCGCGCCAGCCTCCGCTGAGCCTGTGTGGCTGGAGAAGCGCTCCACGTCAGCCCAATCCTCCCCTTGTTCCCCCCCCTATTTTGGAAGCTGAGAGAAGGGAGAGCAGCGCTTCAAGCGTTGCGCGTTACCGTGCGGTTCCAGGCCAGGAAGGAAAGGCTGGCGGGAGAGGCGCTGCTCAGGGTGAGCGCATGCAGCAGGACGCCAGCACGTGTCCCCTGCACAAGCCTGCCGCCTGCTTGCTGAGGTACAAGTGAGAAAGGGTCGTGTGACACGAACCCCGAGGTGGTTTCCTAACGAATGGATTTCCATTCGCACTAAGCCTTTCAGCCGAGGCTCCCATCTGACAGTGGGTGCGTGTAGTCTCACAGCTGGAGATACGGAGACATGCGGGGTGCTGCAGGGAAGGAGCCATGAGCCCGTGCCAAGCTCCCAGCAGCGGCTCTCAGCCTCTCACCAGCTGCTCAGGCCGAGCTGCACACGCTGTGCTGCACGTTGTGTGGCACTGCCCACAGCTCTGCACAGTGCCACTGCTGGGAGGGTGTGGGAGCAGGGAGCAGCTCAGGGCAGCGAAGGAGCTGCAGGTGAGGAGCAGAAGTCCTGCAGCTGCCTGCAAGCAGCTAAGCAGGGTTGTTCCCATGCTGCGTTTTCCATAAATCTGTCTGTTCTGCAGTGCTGTGTAATTAAGCTTGTGTCAGAACTTGCAGTGCACGCACCTTCCCAGCCTTCATGTTTTGCTGTAAAACACCTCTGGCTGCACCGCCTGCTTTCATGGAATCAGAATATTCATAAAGGTTGGGAAAGACCACTAAGGTCATCCAGTGCAACTGTCGATCCGTTCCCCCATGCCCACTAACCAAGTCACTCAGTGCCACATCCACACGTTTCCTGAACACCTCCAGGGTCAATGACTCTGCAGCCCTGGGCAGCCCATTCCAATGCATCACCACTCTTTCTGAGAATTTTTTCCTAACATCCAACCTGAACATTTCCAGCACAACATAAGGCCATTACCCCTCATTCTATCACTGTTACCTGGGAGAGGAGGCCAACCCCCACCTCACCACAACCTCCTTTCAGGTCTTTGTAGAAAGTGACAAGGTTTCCCCTGAGCCCTCCCTTCTCCAGACTGAACAATCCCAGTTCCCTCAGCCACTCCTCATGAGACATTTGCTCCAGAATGTATCCCTTAGCTCAGAACTGTCACGCTGCAACAGGGTAATGTGAATTTGGCGTATTCACATCAAAATGCATCCGTACTCTTCTGGATGCCTCTGAACAACGCAGGCAGTCTGCAGGCAGTCTGCCTTTCAGTGTCTAACGGAGGCTATAAGAAAGAAGGGAATGGACTCTTTAGAGGGTCTGTTGTTGATAGGACAAGGGAAAATGTTTGCAAACTGGAGTAAATTGGATTTCAATCTGGACTGGAATTAAGGAGAAAGTTTTTTACCGTATTGATGGTGAGGCACTGGAAGAGGTTGCTGAGAGAGGTGATGGTGATGGAGAGGTGATGAGAGAGGTGATCCTCCATCCCTGGAGACATTCAAGGTCATTCTGAGCGCCTGATCTAGCTGTAGGTGTCCGTGCTCATTGCAGGGGAGTTGGACCAGATGACTGTAAGATCCATTCCAACTCAAATGATTCTATGATTCCATGATTTACCTGCGGATGTTTCAGCTTCATGTCTACATGTGTAAGAATGTGTGTGTTCCATGTGTAGAATTGCACGAGGGATTCAATAGCATGCTATTGGCAGGACTGCTTCCATTAGTGTTGCCGTATTGTGAAGAGGAGATCAGCTGCTGGTAAGCAGCAACTGCAGGCACTGTCCTGCCAAGAGGAAGATGTCATAGAATCATAGAATTGCAGAATCATAGAATGGCCTGGGTTAAAAAGGACCACAATGATCACTTAGTTTCAACCCCCTGCTATGTGCAGGGTCACCAACCACCAGACCAGGCTGCCCAGAGCCACATCCAGCCTGGCGTTGAATGCCTCCAGGGATGGGGCATCCACAACCTCCTTGGGCAACCTGTTCCAGTGTGTCACCATCCTCTGTGTGAAAAACTTCCTCCTAATATGTAACCTAAACCTCCCTTGTCTCATTTTAAAACCATTCCTCCTTGTCACTGCAGCTGGGCAGTTTTTTAAGCCCCTTCCTCATTCCTCCATATCCCACAGTATGTTTTGCACCAGGTATCATACAACAAAACTTCGTTTTTCTTTTTGCTGACCTTTTTTTTACAAAATCTTCTATGGTTTACCAAAATAGTTTTTTTCCTACAGTACCTTTCCCATAATAGACTAATAAATAATAATACAGAACCTTGTTCTTGTTTCTGGCGGAACAAACCCCAGAAGACTACCAAGGAGAAATCTGTCCAGCCATTTTTGTGGGCAGTTTTGTAACTTCAGTATTGCAAGAGCCGTGTTCAAAACATGCTTCGTGTTGTGCATTGATGATGGAGAGGGAATCTCTGCCCCACAGTTCACATTCTCAGACCACTTTGAGTTCTCTTTGTTAGACGCATGCAGCTTTGAGAACACCGTGTGTGCTGTTTGTTCTTGCTAGGAAGCCTAACATGGAAAACAACCCTCAGAACTTTGGTTCCACCCTGCAAAATGTTAAATAAAATATGCTCTTTAAAGGGGAAAATGTGGCTTTTTGGCAAACAGTAACAGGCACTTTTCTTTAGTTTCATAGAACTAAATTTCACTGTGCAAAAATAAAAATGAAGGCTGAGCATGCCCTGTAGCTGTTGGTAAATACAGCCGGGAATAAAGCAAATCAAAGTAGCAGCTGATCGCTTTTGAAGGTACCAGCTATTACAAGCTTTGATGAGCATTGCACAGGCAGGTAAAGGAAAGCTGCAAATTACGCAGTGAGCAGCAGCTCCTGGAAAAGCAACCCTATTTTCTCTCAGATGATACCTTGCGTTGACTTCACACATTTCTGCAGTTGCATTGTATCCTCCAGCCGTCAGCCACCTGAGCAGCCATAGCACTTGGAGCCTGGAGTAATGCGCTGCAGAGGATGTTCAGTGTGTGCGAATGCAGTGAGAAAGCACTGGGTATTTTTAATTGCTATGAAGCAGTCAGGACTTGGGCTGTAGTTCTGTCTTGGAGATACTGGCAAGACAACTTGGTTTGACTGCTCTAGATAGATTAAAGACTAAGCCTGGTGAGATTGGAAACTATGTTCCAAACAGGGCAAGTATTTGAATGTGGCTGCCTCAACAAGCAAAATCTCTCCTCCAGGGAGGTCAAAATCAAACCATCATTGGCTGTCTCTTCAATTAAATTATGGAATACCTGGACAAAAACTAGCAACAGAAGTGCCTCCTTGGTTTTGCCAAACCAAGGTTAGGCATCGAAGCTGCTTTTTGCTAAACTTCTGGTTTTTGCTAAACTTCTAGATCTAAATGCATAGCTGCATCTGACCCTAGTTGTTTTAATTCAAACTGAAAGATCATAAAGCAGTTAGTTCTGGGACTCGAGCATATTTTGAGGTAATGAAATAGCTGTGGCCTGTACTGGCATGGAGGGCATTTTCCTGTGAGATGCTTCTTTTCAGTCTTGCTCACAGTACTTTGACACTGCAAGGCTTCAGGGCTTGGGGATGCTGCAGAGCCGAGCAGCACATCTGTGCAGTACCAAGGCCCTGTGCAGAGCTGCTGTTCTCAGCGTGACCTTCATTTCATCTGCTTTTAAGGAGGAAACATCATACCAGGAGAAATAGTTTTATTCCACAGTAGCACTCATCTGAAAGATCTACTCCAGAAAATCTCAGTGATGTTGGAACGGGAGCTATCAGAGCAGCACTGCTGAATAGCACTAGCAGTAATTTCCCATGCACGCCCAGGCCCTTCTTTTGATTCATACTGATGCGGTTGTGACAAAACTGCCTCGTGTTTGCTTGTTACAAAACAGGATCAGCAGCACACGGCTCTGAGTGCAGCACGGTGCTGACCTCCGCGTGAGCACCTCTGCAGTGGCGCTAATAGGGGTGCTCCACAGCAAGTGCAAGCAGTCACACACTCCTCATGCTGAAACCACAGCAAATGTGTTTAATCCCACACAATAGTTCCGTTATAATACGTCTTAAAGCTGCGGTTGGCAGGGGAAGCGGCGACCACTTCTCACATATATAATGTATACGGAACATATTCAGCTTGGCAAGGAGACAAGGAGCTGGAAGTGTCACGCTGGAGCCTCGCCCCTGACAGCATGAGACATGTGCTTGTAAGCTGTCTCGAGGAGGATATTTGATTGCCCTCTTTCTTCTTCTGCCTCTCTCCCAACAAAAGCGGCCTGACCTCCCCCATGACCCGGCAAGTGCTGAAATTCCCCAAACACATTTTTCTGTTGTGCCCCAGCGCTGAACAAAAGGAGACGAAGCAGCCTCGATATACTTGGGAGCATGGAATGAAAATAACAGCGGGCCGTGGCCGGGCCAGCGAGCGCCCAGCATCACCTCTGGCCCTTCGCGTCTGCACTGCCTCCCACGCCCGCTGCT